GTATTTATCGAAATTGGTAAAAGTTCTTTAAGCTCATTTTCGACTTTCTACTCTACTGGGATTCCTTGTCAAATGCCATACTCAAATATAATATCCATTAAGGAACAGAAGTTGTTGTTTTCTTAATCACTTAGGTCAACAATACAATTAGTGGCGCGGGAAGGCTTAAATACCCTCAGTTTACCCCACAAGCAAAAACAACAACCCTTTGGAGAATCCTCCGCGCTTTACACTCACAATAGGCGGCCCCAATGCAGAGAGTTAATTCAAATCAAGGTTTACCTTGAGAGCTATCCTTTTCACTCAACCATTGAGAAAAGTCCTCTGGCGGCATTTCCTCGATGGGTGGCGCTGAAGGTTCGCACCGTCTCGCGACCTTGGGTGTTGTTGATACAGTCGTAGCTCTAAAATATGATTCAGATGACGGGGTATAGCACTAACAAGAAGTAGCGTGAAACAAGCCACAAGGTTCTCAAAACACTCATTCATCCAAACATTAAGTGCGCAAATAACTAATGGTTTTACTCTTATTTTTAGCTGCTCAAAATCTTTCTTTAATAATCTGGAAAAAGGTCGAAAATACAAGGCATTTTGTATCTCCCTTCCCCTCGCCCGCTCCCTTTTTCCCTTCCTTCACCCTATCCCCCAATGAATATTGCAAACCTTGGCTTAGCCTCGGGCCGCGGTTTTGTACTATCATTAGTCGGATCTTCGATAGCTTGTTGCTCTTCCTGTGCCTGCACTGAAGATGTGGCAATTGCTTTCTTTTGCGGTCTAGCTGGGGTGCTGCTAGATCGAGTTTTCGACCTCGGCGGCGCTAAAGGCCTCGCAAGATCGGGTGTTTTCGAGCATGAAGGAACATCTGCAGAATTTGTCCTAGCTGAAACGTGAGCAGATAAAGTATTGACTTTTTTCAAAACAAAAATTCGAACATACAAGGTGCTTTCGGTATCCCGGAACAAGATGGCTGTGACGTTTGAGTCGAAGGATATGGAGGAATAGCTTGTAAGGGCGATGCTATAGGG